AATCAATTGGAGACCAGCTGGGAACAAGGGAAGGCCAAGCCTGAAGCCAAAACATAATCCCAAAAAAGTAAGTAAGATAAGATGCGGTGTCAGTGTAATTTACATAATCGCCTCATATTGCATACGTAGCAAATTTCTGCCCAGGATTAGTCTTCCCTCTTGCCCTCACGGGCATATTAACTTTTATTAAAATAAAATAAAAAACTTAAATATTGTACACGTAACAATTCTTATGCCATATAAAAATTAATCTGTCGCCACCACTGGTACGTAGCCTACATCCGACCTGTAACCGAGGTGGGTAAGGCCTTATAAAGGCCTATCATCCTAGTGTCGTTTTGGCAATTTTTTATTTCACACATATGCAGAATTCATAAAGTACAATTGTCTATGAAACACATAACTCTTTCAGTCTCATTTATCTATTCCGATGAATTCGCTTTACTGAAACGGCAACTAGGCTTTATCGTAAAAAATGTAAGGATTGATACTAATTAATACGGAATCGGGAACTGTCTCTCAATGTTCAGAACGATTATTGCTTGAAACAAGGAAAATACCAAAAGCAATAATAACGTATAATCATACAACAATTACAGTAAAATTGTCACAGCTATCGACTTGTTACGGTGTACTGCTAATGCTGTTTTAAAAAGTGTAGGTTTAAAAAAATATAATTACGTAATTTAAAAAAACCAACTGGATATTTAATCATTTAAAGCTTGCCTTAAAATATCGACTTCTAATCATCTATGAATAATAAATTAAAGTAAATTATGTAACGTAGTGTTCGTAACATAGTTGATAAAGCAAGCATGTAACTAAATATACTACTATATAATTGTTTCGGGTAGAAATTTTCATTTATTTGATTATAATTTCCTATCTCATTAAATGATATTAGTATAAATTACATTTTTACATGTGAAATAATTATTTTTCTCAAGGAGTTAAACTACTTAGTAAATAAATTAATGCAGCGGCAATAGTTATAATATATATAAGGAGAATGTCATTGTGGCTATTTTGAGCGGGTCCAAAATTTTTTTTTTATTTAATTATATAATAAATTTATCACATTATTACAACGCTAACCGCTGCGATCAAGCACTGCAAGCGCCAAAATATTATTAATAACAAAATATATAATAAATATTTTTTTTTAAATATTATAAAGTCAATTTTCATTACTTGAATTTTTTAACTTGAACAACTGTTTACAGCGCTTTTATTATAGTAGTATATTTCAGTATTTATTATTGCAATATTCGCCGGGAAGGTTTAACCACCACTCACTTAAAAAGTAATGTAGTACACAGCTAAAATACAGACCAAATAAAAAAACCTACATAGTTTTTTATACAATGTTTACAATTGGAGTGTTGTCATCTATTTATTGATTGACTTCAAAATACCTAAAGCCGTGAAATAACAATGAGTTGCGCCAGTTAATCATCGCCGTACCTATTAGAACAACATGGCTAGTAGATATCTAGTTTGTGTTTGTTTACAAAAATAAACGTTCTAATACGCTAACCTATAACTGAGATAACCTTGAAGGATATCAGAAAAAGTAAGAACAGAATTAGCAAAAAATCTGAATCTATTACCGCAATAATCTAAAGCCTGACCAAATAAAAAAGAACCCTTTGTTGTATGTAAAAGTTTTCTTGTGAGTTTTGCTTTTTCTACTGTTAAGAATTTTAAATTGGGTTTGCTAGAAAAAGTGTCAAAATACTTATTACAAGTAATTCTAAGAATTGAAATATTTGGCGTTTTATCGCCTTGAAACTTGAAATCAAAAATATTACAGGATCTGGTAAGGCCAACGTCGAAAGCAGATAATTAAATATCAATATTTAATTACATTGGACATAGTATTTCAAGTAATTCGTTCATTTTCTTGAGTCTATATATAAACGGCTACTACTACATACTACTACATTGTATCATGCTTCGAATAATGGAACTGTTAATTCTCAATTGCGCATATAGCAACAAAAATAAATGCCTATCTCCATAAAAAAAAACATTCTTTAATTGTGCACTAAGAAAGGACTAACAAAGATAATATAATTGTTAAAAATATTGTGCCGATGTTTGTGTGGAAAAAAATGAAAAGTAAGCAAATTAAATGAGGTAGTGGTAGAAATAAAATTTATAATTGTGACAGACCGGCACTACCCTCTTTGTTGAAAGAAGTATTAAGGGCTGAAAAGATTTTTCCTGGGGCAAAATATAATTCAAAATAGGTTAACACTCCAACAGTATTAGGTAGGACACGGTGACAGGTGGGACACGCTATCAGCCTTTGCTGCCTTACATATAGTATATATTCGAATAATGGAACTGTTAGGAGTGAGAGAGGTAGCTCTGCATTGGTTTTCATCCTACCTTAAGGATAGGTAACAGCGTGTTAGCTTAGGGGGTTATATAAGTCACCAGAAATACGTCACATTTGGAGTACCACAGGGCAGCGTGCTTGCACCGACCCTCTTTTTAATATAATATATTAACGACCAACCTTGCGACCTTGTCTGTAACTCACTTTTCGAACTCGCACAGCGGTTTTCGCAGCGGCGGTGGCGCTCAAATCAGTCGTGAAGCAGTCATTTTACGATTTGGCATTCTAATAAACAATAAACTACAAGCTCCCTCCTTATCAGAATGCTAAATCGTAAAATGACTGCTTCACGACTGATTTGAGCGCCACCGCCGCTGCGAAAACCGCTGTCAAATCAATGAAGAAAATAATAGACTAGTCAAATCAATGAAGAATACACGGAAAAGCGTTCAAGTAACAAAGAGCACGGATAATCTAGTTGATGGAAAACCGGAGGAAAAGCAAGAAAATGAAAAGTTTCATCGTAGGTTCAGTTTAAGTAGGGGTCGGGAAGATTGGGTTTGTTAAGAGTCAAGTAATAAATAATGGTACGACTTCTAAGTAAGGAAATGTTTCGGTTGTGTATAGAGCTCGTGGTTATATACGGATACTCATATAAATAATGTATATGTAATGAAATGGTTCAGTTATATGTCTCGTAGCGGAAGCATAGCATTCAGGTTTCCGGTATTGCTACGAATTACGGGCAAAGTAACGCCCATAGATTTTTAAAATAAGAATGAAATTATTACTAATATTTTACATATTTACTTTTATTAATATTATGATGCTGAGAATAGAAGTTATGACATTACTTGATAAGGTAACTTTAGATAAATATAGGATAATCTGCACTTTTTTAATACTGTTGTATACTGTTGTTGTATTGAGTTCATAGTTGATAAGACATAGTGGATCTACTATATTGTGTACTGTCTTTTGTCCAAAGGAATTATCCAAAGGACTATTATTAATTTTATGATGCATTATATAATTGTTGTACTAACGGTGATTGGCGTATATTTTAGTGTGCGAAAGTATGATAAAGGGTCAATTACCTTATCTCTTATTTTATAAGTTCTATTTGTATTGGTTCCCGAGAAATCTATATCTAAACTAGTATTATAAAGAGTAAAGGTTTTATTTTTGTTCCGTTATAACGAAGAACTCGACTCGAAGTCTACTGTTATTAGGAATGTTGAGACTATTTATTTCCAAAATTGTTAGTCGTGCGAAGTCGGGTCAGGCTATATTTATTATATGGCAACCTCTTTTAATACTTTAAAAATGTTTAAAATTAAAACAATATGTTCTTAAAGTTTTAGGTTCTCCACAAATACATGCATGCCCCACGCAAAACCTAGCCAAAATAGATACTCAAATAACCGTAGTGTATGCCTAAAATAGTCTTTATCTAATAATTACAATTAATTTGTAATTTCCCATTATAAGAACATTACTAAGGAAAGCTTAAAATTACTGAGAAGAGAACTCATATATAAATTCTCTAAAACAGCGTTTCCCAACGTGGAGCACACGCCCCACGGGGGGCAATTTGATTGTTAAAGGGCCATAATTTCGAAAGTTTATTAAAATGGTTTGGAATTTGATTTTTCATATTTTAAAAATGTACTTACTGTGTTTCGTTAACAATTTACTAGTAATTTCTTCAAAAATACTATCATTTAAGTATCTTAAGTGAACTTTTTAATATTAAAAATTATGTATGTCATGTCATTTTGACATCCTTAGCTAAATACGAAAAGTTTGACACCTAAAACAGGACAATTATGGGTTAACATATTCTAGAGATATAACGGGATGTATGGGTGGCGTGAATAATAAACACATTACTAAGAAATCATTTATTTGTAGTTAAAAACATTGTATGTACATAAGGCATTTGCTAAATACACTTGGTACAAATGGAATGATGTCGAAGTTTGACTTAGATTTGATCACCTGAAGCTTAACATTAAGTATATAATACGACAAAATAAGGCAGCACTCTCACATTGTTCGTTGGTTGAAATATTATATATATATGTTTTTCACCCTATAAAATGTGTCTTTATATATATGTTATAAATAAATAAAAATGTGTTTATTCATTTTAAGTACATATGTATTACAATGTGTATGATTTGGGAACCCTTTTAAGTAAGAGATACCTGTGTCAGGGTTATCTTATGTGAAAAGCGACAATTTTTGTTATTACGAATATCTGTAAATTTTCCGACCCGTTTAATATCCATCTAATTCGCCCAACATTACCTCTATTCTTTATGAAATAATTACAAATATGATTGCTTTAATCATGGCATAAATACATAAATTGTTAGGATTATATTTGGCCACAATTTTCGTGTTTACTATACTTTTATATAATAAATGCATCGATAGCAAACTACAATAAAATAATTAGGTCCGTTGTGCGTATCGACCTTATGAAAAATAATATAATTAGGTTTCTAGAGTATTTCATTGATCTTGTTAAAACTACAGTCTCTCAGGCTTTAAATAGTAAGTACTTAATCACAGAATACGGTACAGAATAATCCTATTTTCATTCTGGCAATATTCCAAACACCATTACCACAACGACCACAACCATGGTCTATACCTTTGCTTCTGGTGTTTGTAAAGGCACACTGGCATCTTCCATTTTTTTCGTTAAGTCCAATGCTTTCTGTCGTTTTGGTCTTTTCTTATGGATGAAGAGTCGGAGGTAATGACAGGGGAAGATGACGCATTCGCCAGCTGGTTCCTCTGCGTCAATATAAACTCCTCTTACAAGAATTGAATTTGAACAATTTAAGAGCATCAGCAACGCCAGACTTACGATGAGGCAAGACCAGTTGCTTAAGTGAGGCGAATCTGAAATGAAAAAACTCGTTAAAATAGGAATCTATAAGATATCTTTATAAAATGTGTGTTACTGTTTACACGATTCATTTGATTACGATGCATGCATAAGCTTTAAAGATTATACAAACAAAAGGAAATGTTACATTTAAATTTCCAAAAAAGCTACTCCTCTTAGTGCGTATTATTATTAATAATATTAGAAACAAAAAGATTTAGAGTACTACTTTTAAAAACAATGTTACTATTACTGTTATTACACTGCGTTATAATCTATATTGTATAAACGAACCTGGCAAAAAATAAATGTCCAGCAATCCCCAAACCCCTCGCCATACATTAACCGTGGAAGCGAATGAAAGTAAGTGGTAAACATCAGCGATCAACAGCCTTGGGACTCCCTGAAGTCTTGCGACAGCCCACCGCATCGGCGCCTGCAGCGAAAACGTCACAACTACCACAGAGTAACCTACTACCTGTGGACAAAAAATAATAATAATAATTAATAAAGGGTACCATTCGCTATAAATTATTTAATTATTACGGGAAATGACACACGTTTCTCGCATAATCGTAAAATTTAAACTAAGTATAATCTGGATTTCATTAGAATACATGTTTGCATTATATTTATCTTCTCATATATTGTGAGAACAGCGCTCTAAATAAAATATTTTATCAATTTTATTAATTTTCTGCATTTATGCTACAAATAATTGCAATAGAAAAAGACCCTTTCCACGACTGTACCGATTCTAGCAAATGAAAAGCATAACATATCATTAATTCTATTTTTTTTAACCAGTTGTACATTGTTGCCTTTGTCAAATATACGTTCGATAAAGTGTACTAAATATAGATGTATATACTTCAGTTAGATCTACAATTTATTTATGCGTTTATAAAACCTTAGAAAATCATCGTGCGAGATAAACAAAGCAGTAAAATTTTGGCGCCTGTAAATAATACCCTTCAAACATAGTTAACTTTTGTTGAGTTGGATAAACCATAAGCCAAGTTTATTTTATTTGTTCTGCGATGAAAACACCCCTAACGGAGATATCATATCACAGGGAAGTGCCCTAGTTCGTTACATACTTAGCTTTTTCACTAATTACGTAATATTAATTTATTTTACGCATCAACTGTATGCTCATGACTGGGTAAGCGTAAATTGACATAACAAGAGAAATGAGATTAGATAAAAATTGTGGTCACCACCATCAGGATAATTTGGTTTTTATGAAGGAAAGTGCGCACCGTACTGACATTAATTATATAGAAATTTAATAGTTGTAAATAATGTTTCCCATGTTTTCTGCTAATTTTCATAGATAGAGCCATTTCGGATGTGTATGCCCAGAGTCCAACATACTCCTCGGCGACCAAGGGCCATATCATTCTTTCATCATAGAAGATCGTTTTTTAGGTATATTTACGTTATAAAAGAAATCAAAAATATATTTGAATTGTTTTGGCTTTGGTGGAACATGAGTAAAAATAGATATATCAAGAAAATTTAACGATATTAAAAATTCAAATTATTGATGGCGACGAAGATGAAGTCGCTGTATCTTCGGGTTTATCATCATTAGTAGTAGCTAGGTAGTTAAATATTGCGAAAATATTTCCGTGTGTTTATTAATAATTGTATGATACTGTAGTCAAATAGAGTAATGTGTAGTAAATTGACTCTAAGTGTGAAGCATGAGATTTTTAATGGCGTTCGGCTATATATTATTCTATAGGAACTACAAGTGATAAAATTTTAATAACGACATTTTCTGCGGGTAAATCACAACTACATGACAAGAAATAATTGAGATATTGCAGTGACACGTTTATCGGAGATTGAACAAAAACCTTATATTTATTTAAAAATAGAAAAATGGTATATATGGGTGATTTAAAAATTATCATGTGGATAGATATTATATCATGAATTTGTAATAACGAATATTTTAAATTCGTAATCTTATTATAAACAAATCTACAGAATTTATTAAAAATTAATATTTATAAAGACGTTAAGTTTGTTTAACCGATTGATAAGGTTTTGATTTTTGGTCATATATATGACTGCCCGAATTACATAACGATTCATATGCGATTACTAAACTTTTGAAACAGATATTTTTATTTAGCTTAAACAGACGTAACTTCCTTGAATTTGTCAAGTATCAGAATCAATTACCCGAATACTATTGTTTAAGTTTTAATCTAAGCTTCTACTTACAAGTGACGTCCAGCAAGATTTGGCAGGATCATCTGGATAGAGGTAAATGTCAATCAAAGCAAACAGACCTCGCCACACGAACACCACCAGTGACCCGACCACAGTCGCAGAAAAGACACAGTCCAGTATGTAAAGAGCTGTTTCCTTACTACTCTGTAACAAAAAAATCTATTAAATAAATTGTCTTTATATTTAACTCCCTGATAATGTATAAATACTTAATCATATAAGTGAAGCAATATATAAAATGGGAGAGGCCTTTTGTGATACAGTACCTAATAATAATTAATATCCTTTTGTCTTCAGTAGCATAACAAATAGCATATATATTAACTTTCATTTGTATGTATGTACAATGTACATATTGATACGTATATGACCTTATAGGTTAAAAATATGCAGGATGTTAGATATCGACTAGGTGTTATCATTTAATATATATGCTACATGAATATAAAGTCTCCAATAGGATAAATTACTGAGCGAACAACGCGCACTGTCCTATATCAGGGAATCCTTATCCTTAACAGAGAATAGCATCGTAAAATACTTCTTAAGTATCATCTAAAACGTTTTGAATATAATATGATTAGGAAGCCACAATTTTCAAATGCATTGCGCAAATTAAAACTATAAAACTTTTCTATAACTAGAAATAATAATAAATGTAGTGTTTGTATAATTAAATAATAGTCTCGTGACTAATTCATTATTTCATTTTACAATTATTTTCAACTAACTTTCAAAGATTTTTTTATTTTTTCAAGATTTTTATGTTTATTTATATGAAATGTTAGACATAAAATCTTAAATAACTTATTACAATAATAAATCTTTAAATACACGTGAGGTTACTTATTAAACGGAATATCATAACAATAACTTATATACCAACCGTTTTAAGCAAAGTATGAACATAGAAAAAATCCTTAGGCGCATCAACAACAACTGCGAACGGCGGAGATAATATATTTCTCAGACTCCGTAACAAGAGTTCACGTCGCTGCTGCTGTGATGGACATGACAGTCTATCTCCCGTGCATTCGTTGAGGAGGTTCCGTACTCTTCGCCACCCGCCAACTCACCCCACTACAGCCACACAAGTAAATGGCTTCGAGAACAGACAATACGTGAATCTACCAACTGCGTCTGGAATACGCAGAAAAAGAAGTTCACGCCCAAGCCATGAGGGGTACTATCGCACTGTTCACTGGTTCTTTAGGTAGGACGTAGAGGTCCATCAGCGACCAGGTCGACTTCCAGTAAGTCACAACCGCCGGGGCTACTACAGCACTTCCGAACACCTCATCTGCGAATTCTAGAAGCGCGCTATGGGCCCGCGAGCCAGTCGCGAGCGTGTCGGCTAACCCGGCCGTACTCCCACGCATCTTTGGTTACGAGTGCACACAACCACGGGTCCCGAACGACTACAGATCATTAATGTACAACGGTATCGGCTCTTGTGTGACGTATTGTTGAGATCACTCCCACCCACAACTCTTTTCTTCTTTTTAATGATAACGGATGATAAAGCAGCTTAATTTTACTCCCCGAGTATTTGATGATAAGCTTGAGATTGTTGGTTCTAACCGGCTTTTATAACATAGCCTGACTTGCCGTCGGAGCTTGCTTATAGATATAACAAGTTTAACGGTGTTTGGCGAAGATAGATGTTTTGTGGTCAAGTTTGTATACTTATATGGAGGAGAAATAGTTTTCGTTTGAATAGTTATTTCTTTCTAACCTATAAATACCGGGATTTGTTTGTATAATTAGGTTATAATGTGAGGTCATTTGATAATTTTAATTAGGTGCTCATTGAACTTGCAAACGTGAGGTAATATTATGCATTCATATTATATACGTATATAGTAGTAAAGTATCTGTATATGTGTCCAAAAGGCATTACACAAATACCATACAGTAATAAATGACCTATATTGCTTCTGCAACTATCGTCGAATTAAAAATTTGCACCGACTTCCGGTACCATCACTTTAGTACGGCACTAGGTTTATCGACATTAATTTTTAATCATCTATACACTTATAACAAAGCCGTACATTAATAATTAGTCGAAATTCCTCATTGGCACTTGAGAAATTCCATTCACTCACGTACTCACATGTACCACTCAGAAATGACGGCATAGTGCTCAGAGTTATTTTCAGATATAGTAACAGCCTTCTAAGCGTAATTCACGTCATTCACATGGTCATTTCACAGGTTTTTTTTGTTCATGGGCTTGTGGTCTAATACGTATAGTTCTTAAATTTGATTAAAAACCAACCAACTAGAGTTTGACCAATTACATGATTGAATTAATTTTAATGTTAAGTATGGTAGTGTATATTACATAAAATAAATATTGCCGGAAATTATCTTTTACTGTATTTTTTCAAAAGATATTATGTCAAACTGAAGATCATAAATGAAATAATTACCTTTTGAAATCTTGTAGTAAATATGTAAGTTGGATGTTTTCCATCGGTGACTACGATGTAAGGAGGCGCTAGGAGGTTGCGTGTGGAGCGAAGAACTAAGATCAACACGACACATACGATCAAATACGTCGCTATCAACACTGGTCTGTGGAATAAAAATTACCTTCTTTAAACATAACTTAATAATAATTCTTAATTCAAAATCACTTATTCATATAGCTATTGGTATGTTAACTAAAGCTGGCGGCTTCAACACATTTCCACTTTGTGCTTGTGTAGTGTCTGTGAATAAGCGCGAGGCGTGATGTCAAACTGAAATACAATCACAAATACATCATGAAAAGACTGTCCGTCTCTCTCGCGCTCGGTCAAGCTTATGAGTATAAAAGAGACAGTTATTGTTTTGCTTTTGCTACTGTTTATGTTGATCTTTACTATACATGTTGATCTTTTTTCAAACATTACCAGGGCAATCTCGTGAAATGGTGCACAATGTTTTTAATTATTTTAAGCATCTTAACAAAAACAGTTTAATGAAAAAATGTTATATTTCATTTGACATCAGATGCTGAAAGCTAAATTGTTTTTTTTTTTTGATTTGTTGAAAGCTGGGTTCACCACCATACTCCTGAATCAAAGCAACAGTCCAAACAATGGAAAATATGTGGATCACCTACTCCGAAAACGGCTAAGGTCGTTTTGTCGACCAACAAAGTCATGGCTAGATGGAGCGTATGTCGAAAAATGAAAAATTATTTACACGAACTACTCTTTCACGTTCTTGGTCTGGCTTAGAACTTTTGGATCCACCCTCGTATGCACCTAATATTTATATGTATTTGACACATTTTTATTTATTTACAACCCACCCAACCTTACTAAAACCAGAGTGGACTAAAATATATAGCTTTGCAAAAAAATCATATTTTGAAACATACTGTATGTGAAATTGCAATAGTGTGAGTACTGTGAACCCGCCAGATTTCGATAACCGACACAATGTACACTTATGAACGTCAAAGAAATATATACATGAAATGCTTCTAATTTTACATTTACTGCTAGTTCTCAAATAAAGGGCGTAGAACGGGAGAGAAGAACTGGCAATAAACTCTCCGCCACTCTTTTTTTTTATATTCGGGGTTGGTATATTATTGTTTTTGAAATGCAAAACCTGTATGATTTCCCGTTACGAAAAACTGTAAAAATTAATATTTATTTTATTTACATAGTAGAAACACTACACAATAGTGTTCGCGTTTAAAGATAAACAAGTAAATTTAGAAGAATGAAAAAGTAGATGACTGAGGTAACATTATTTTTTTACTTTTATTCCCTTTTTTAAGATTAATGTATAAAATAAAACGAACTTTGACTTTATGCCCACTCGCATACGTTTGAGATTTGTGAGAAAATGTTACAAAATTATGTGGTAATTTTATAAGATAAATAACGAGTGCTACGGGTTATCACCATTATGCTACGGAACGAGTAACATTGCTACGGTGGGATAGTACTACGGATTTGGGATAGTATTTATACACCACAAAGCTTTGTGTCATTACGATACGAGTCTACGATAACTAGCTAACTTATTAATTAAGTGTAACAGTTAAGTTGGCCATGAGAAAATAAGAATATTAAATGAATCACGAAATATTTTGACTATTATAGTAAAAGTGTCTTGTTTCTATATAATGAGTTAATTAACACGTTCGTTGCATTACGAGATCTATCAGATCTCTTGCAGGACTTTTGTATTGTGCGTTGAACATAATCGTGTTTTTCACTCCTTGCGGGAGGATCTAACTTGTAAAGTTCTTTAAGGATGAGCAGGACAAATATACATATTTGCTTCGTACTTAAAGCTGAATTCAAGGACTTTAAAAAATAAATTAGAGATGGATTAGGTCCCTAACGCACAGTACTGTAATTGTTTTAATTCCTTGCGTTAGGAGATATGTCGGTACTCGTGAAATCGTACGCCTCGTAGACGCAAGAGATGAAGGATGGGATTTTTAGTGTTGTCCTAGAATCGACATTCGGGAAGTCGCGGGCACGTTTTGGAAATAACACTCGCGTATATATCAGCGTGTTGATTATTTTTGATAAACAATGAGTGATTAAGTTTAAAAGAAAAAAGTGTAAAAAATCTATTTTATTAGTGAGGTTTCTAACAAAAAATCAACGCCGGATTATACTGCTGCATCGTCCAGTAAAATATTTGTTTTGGAAAATGTTCAAATTTGCCCCCCATTGACTAATAATGACAGTGATTCTGATTATGAAATATTTAACGATAAACCTTTTTCGTTGGAGCTCACGCAGTTAAACAGCACTGACGCTTCTAAAAAAACTAAACGAATTGTTACCATTTGCGCGTAATGTGCAAGCAATCAATGTGCTTACCATGTTTTAATGAAAAACACTTTTCATAATTAATAAAACTTTTAGAATCGATAACTGAGATATTATTTTATTCCCATCACTACTTACTACACATATTGAACTATCTTCGGGTGCGGTACGAGATACAATCGATATCTAATTTTTTTTTGTTATTTGTAGTTTATTCAAATGTCGTAACTGCGTGCGAACCTAGCAAAATATAAAGCAATTAGCTATCTTTCACCCACAAAAAATTCAAAATATATATCATTGTTTTTTTGGAAGATATAAATTATTTTCAAAAGTGTATTTTTAGGAGACTGATTAGGTCTCAAACGCACCAGAGGATAGGCTTGTTACGAGATCTTTTAGGTCTCCAACGCACCAGCTGAAAGTTCTTTAAAAATGATGGCGCAGTGAACGTGTTAAGTCTAAAACCATTTACACGATTATAAAATTATTATAACTTTCAGATAGCTCAGTATCATCAAGTATATTTTGTTTACAATAATTTACGCATGTTTAAAATTTTATACAATTTTTACGGATAAAACGAATTTTTACAAATAAGACTGGGAGTTTTCATGCGGTCTGAGATATATTGTAACAAAACTTCTAATAATAGAGGTTGTAATATTTTTGATGATTTGCAAAAATACGCGAAGATTGGTGAAACGTGCCTCATGTAGAAATAGGCAATGTGTACATATGACGATACCCTAACAAACTATAGATATTAGTCGTTTTTCATTCACACTAAGTGGAGATATATTTATAGTTATTGGTCTTAAAACTACCAACGGAAAAGACCAGAACAATACATGATGCTATCAAACCAGCTACAAAGTTTTATCAAGATTTATACAGATGAATTGACCAGGACCAAGTACCGCCAATCAAAAGCTTCATCAACGTGAGAGAAGTAAAAACAGTTAAACCAATTGATGAGATAAAAGTTTACGAACACATAAGCTAGTTAAAAAAGAAAAAGTACCCTAAGCCTGATGGGCTTAAGCAATGATATAATTAAATAAGTGCGCTGCTTCTACTTTAATATTTAAGTCAGCTGTTCAACTGAGTACTAACGATAGAAGAAGAACCAACACAATGGTACATGTTCGATATCGTGGTATTCTACAAAAATGGCCTTTTAGCAAGTATGTACAAGCTGTTTCCTTCTATATCACGGATAACACAAGTCATTTATGATTCAGAAGCAGGTTTTCGATCAAGTTTCTGTACAGTGGATCACATACAAACCCTACAACAGATCATAGATAAGCACCGTGATTTCAAACTACCCTCAGGCTATTTGGACCGCTCTAAATTTAGCGGAAATAGACCAAAAATATTATATCAATATCTTGAAATACGTCTATAACAAAAATTAAAGCTCGAAAATTGGTGAGATCGAATAAAAAGTGCAAGAGGGATGACAGGGAGACCCTCTATCTCCTAAACTTTTCGTGGTTGTTCTCAAAATGATAATATTTATGAAAGTTTTTAAATTAAAAGTCGGCATCTTAGTCATCTTAGGTTTGCGGATAGCATCACTATTTTAGCAAATTAAGATTTAGAAGCACTCTTTTCGTCCCTAGATCAGACGAGTTCTAATATTGGTCTAAAAATGAACGCCAAATATCAATAATAGGGGAAAAAATAGAATATGTTACAAAATATGTATATCTCTTTAAGGAAACAAATACCCTTTATAGGCCAGTCATTATAGACATTCGAAATCGAAAATTTGATAATAATTCCAAAAGTTTTCAAACTTCGGTCAAGTGAATGGTACATTGGGACGACAATAAATCTCATTTTGCAACCTTGTCCGCAGTCCGGAACATTGTTAAAATTGCAATTAAATTAATTTTATGTCTGTATGGTCGTGAAAAAAATTCCAAAAGTTCTGCAAACTTGGGGAAGTTTTCGATATAACATTTTTTGTTATTTATTTTATTTTCGATATATCTGTCAAATTTGCAGAACTTTTGGAACGTTTTCCTTCAGTTTAATAAAGAACAACATTAATTAAATAATGTTCCGTACACTTAAATTGGTTGCAAATTTGACACGTGATGTAAAATAATATATTTAACACCACTCCAACTTTGCAGAACTTTTGGAATTTTGGTCTCAAGAACTAAGCAAATTATCATTTATTGCATTTTTAACAATGTTCCGGACCGCAGAGCAGGTTGCAAAATTTTATAGTTTGTTTTAATACCACTCCCGACCTTACATCAAAATTTGAAAACTTTTGGAATCATTATGAATTAATTGTCTTGACTGACTGGTCTATTAATAAAAATAAATAAATGAAATGGCAATAAGGGTAACAAAAGCTTGGAATAGATACTGGTCATTAAAAGAAGTTTTAAAAGGAAACTACATCCTAGATCTAATGTAGACTGTTATGGACACTAGCATCCTCTCATGCCTGGTCCACAGGAGCCAAACCTGGACGTTCACGAGAAGTGTGAAGTCGAAGGACTAGTGCCAAGATAGCAATGGAGCGGAGCATCCTTAAAAAATGATCCACCAAATTCGAAGTGACCATATCAGGGCTAAAACTAAGATCACCGACACACTAACCCACGCCTTACAGCTAAAATGGAAATGGGCGGGCCATATTGCAACGTGCACAGATATAAGATAGACCGGCGAAGCCACTCGCTGGAGGGGACCTCCTGGTAAAAGAAACGTGGAAAGACCACAAAAGCGATGGGCTGACAACATAGTTAAGGTTTCTGGGGAGAAATGGATGGAAAATTGGAAATCTAACTGATCCAAATGGAAAGTTCAGGAGGAGGCCCAAAAGGGTTCCATACTGCAGAACACAAAAAAAAACGGAAATAACAATAACGAACGTACACTAAGAGTATATATAATAACAAAACTAACATCCATTTGATATGTAATTTTTTTAACAATGTGGAATATATATGTGGTAAAGTAGCTTTATTATTATTATAATAGAAGTGTGTTATTTAATATTATAAACAGTAATTATTTGAAACCATTAAGTAATAAAACTCGGGAAGCAATCGTGAAAAACTAATTTCCAGGCAAAACCGACGACCCCAGCCGGTGCTTTCTTCCTTAAACGTTTAAGTATCTCAAAACAGGAAAGTCTGCCAGCACTAAGAGTAGTTTAAGATTACTAAGTACTTTTTAAATTTGGTTCCGTGTTCCATTTATTTATTATTATTATGTGTAGGTTAGAGGTTTTGAAAAGTGTTTATATGTATGTACGAGTATGTGCATATAGTTTCCTTATAAATAAATTTACCAACACAATTATAGAATAAAAAGATTTTACCTATGAGGATCCTGATCATTGGGTAAAATGGCAGCGACCATAGTATCCATAAGGCCCCAACCACCTCTCCAGTGCATAACGTTTGATAAAATGAATATGAATGTATAAAACCGAGATAGTACTCGTTCTCTAAGCCACCGGCCTGCTTTTCCTTCACCCCATGCGTCAACAGATCGGGAAAACAGGCGAGTTCTGAAATATCAAATATGCCATTCCGTCTCCGTCTTATTATAATAAAACATAAATTCATCTTCAAATGGGAATAGGCTTTAAATTGCACGATTTTTCCGAAACAATATATGAACTAAAACAAAAGAAAGTGCTGGTAAGAAAGGATGATTTGGAAGTGAAATTGTCTTTGTTTTCTTTTGAAGCCCACAGTTATTTTATAGATGTGCTTTATTCTCTTTTATATGCGTCATATATAAACATTATAGGGAAATAAATAATAAATTCTTACTTTGCAATAGAAAAACAACAGTGTATTAAAATTCCAAGAATGAAGTTTTGGGCGTATGGAAACATATTGGCGTGCAGTTCCATGTTGCCCAATGAACTACGCCATACTGCTACAACTAAAGGGGCCACCACAACACTTGCGAACACTGCATCACCTTGAAAGAAATTTTATGTGTTATGGCGCTTCTAAACGGGCCATGTTTTGCTGCAATTGATGGCTGCAACACTGTGGCCCGGCAACATTGCAAACAATTGCAGCCACAATATGCAATATTGCAGTAATGTCCCGGCCATATAGCCAAACATGTTTTGTATAGCCACATATGGCTGATGTTGCCCCGATGGGTTGCCGAACGATCGCTAGGCTATCGAATTCAACTGCAATATTGCACAGCCAATTCTATTGTTGTTTCAGTCACTCTCTTTGTTATGGCATAGTGTATCCTTTTCTACGCGACATGACGTTTGCGATGAGTGAAGTGTGCCTGTTGCTATATTCTGTTTTGCGATCAGCTGCATTTTGACGTTAGGTTACTACGTAAAAATGACTGCTTTTGACATTATAGTTCTTGAATAATTTATTATCAAGGCTTATTTCTAGACTCAAATTGTCTACAGTTTCACGCATATGTAAGTAAGGTCGAATCCACGATCTCTTCTTTTTCTGTTTCTTTTTTAAAACAATATAAGCTGCTGCGACAAGTGTGATTTCGTCAGCGATTGTTGCCGGTTTGTGTAGCCCGTTTAGGAGTCTGCATCATGGGCCATACTATTGCAGACATATTGCAATGGCGCGTCTAAACGGGCCATGTTTTGCTGCAATTGATGGCTGCACTGTTGGCCACTAATTGCCCGGCCATTACAAAAATATTTTAATGCAGCTGATGGCCGAACAATCTATGGCTGGGCAATGTGTTGCAATATGTCTGCAATAGTATGGCCCATGATGCAGACTCCTAAACGGGCTACACAAACCGGCAACAATGGCTGACGAAATCACACTTGTCGCAGCAGCTTATATTGTTTTAAAAGAGAAACAGAAAAAGAAGAGATTGTGGATTCGACCTTACTTAAATAGGCGTGAAACTGTAGACAATTTGAGTCTAGAAATAAGTCTTGATAATAAATTATTCAAGAACTAGAATATCAAAAGTAGTCATTTTTACGTAGTAATCTAACGTCAAATACAGCTGATCGCAAAACACAGAATAAAGCAACACGCACACTTCACTCAAAGCAAACGTCATGTCGCGTAGAAAAGGATACACTATGCCATAACAAAGAGAGTGACTGAAACAACAAGAGAACTGGCTGTGCAATATTGCAGTTGAATTCGATAGCCTAGCGATCGTCCGGCCACCCATCGGGGCAACATCGGCCATATGTGGCTATACAAAACATGTTTGGCTATATGGCCGGGACATTACTGCAATATTGCATAGTGTGGCTGCTATTGTTTGCAATGTTGCCGGCCACAGTGTTGCAGCCATCAATTGCAGCAAAACATGGCCCGTTTAGACGCACAACACATTGCCCAGCCATAGATTGTTCGGCCATCAGCTGCATTAAAATATTTTTCTAATGGCCGGACAATTAGTTGCCAACAGTGCAGCCATCAATTGCAGCAAAACATGGCCCGTTTAGAAGCGCCATAAAGTAATTAAATATGGTCGATACAGTGGTGCCACAGCCCTTTATAGGTTTTATGATCAGAGTAATAAGTCATTAGACGTATGTGTCCAACTTGTCCTTTATTTTACACTTAACCATTAGTCAAGTTTATTCTTGTTATATCTTCTGTATTTTCCAAACATTTCATTTTTTATAACACTTGAAACATTGGTATGCGCAGGCTTAATCTAGTAAATTCTTGTCTTCCTACTTAATAACAATAAAATAATTCAAAAGATTATCAGGCTTTGTTTGTTTGACGTCAGTTTTATTTGTTTGCTGAGGCATAGATAGTCGGAGTTTATTATAGTAAAGAATAATGATAAAGCATTCTGTCTAAAAACTATATTACGTGTGTAAATAGTGTATAAGTCGCAGCGAACTAGCTTAATCAGCCGTTCAATTAACAGCCTAGCCGTTTACCAAAATGGCACCGTTTAACTGACGGCTTGAAAGATATTCAGCCTTGCGTTTGTTAAAACATTTAGTAAAGTGGCTGGCTAATGCTTAGGCCATTCGTACGATAGAGTTATTACTTGGCAGAAATAATATGTCATAAAAAATATTTCTTTTAAAATTAAATAGCTTGAGTCAAATTCACATTATTATTGTCATTACACTCTTGTTGTTTTTCATGAAAATTTGGAAAGCACCTTCAAAGTTGTGGTTTGCCGACGCCATATTGACAGTTTGAAGAGTTTCGTTTCGAGTTTGAGAACTGCAGAAAGTGGAATTAAATTTAAATTAACAATCAACAGGCTCAGCTCCGTTTAGTTAAACGGCTAGGCGGTTAATTGAACGGCTGATTAAGATAGTTGGCTGCGACATATATATTAAATATTTATATGTAATAAACAATAAACTACAAGCTCCCACCTTTTCAGAATGCCAAATCATAAAATGACTGCTTCACGACTGATTTGAGAGCGACCGCCGATGCGAAAACCGCTGTGTGAGTTCGAAAAGTGAGTTACAGAATCGCAGGGCAGGAGGCAAACGGGCAGGTGGCTCACCTGATGTAATGTGATACGCCGCCCATGGACACTCTCAATGCCAGAGGGCTCGTGAGTGTGTTGCCGGCCTTTTAAGAATTGATACGCTCTTCACTCGAAGGAACCTAAGTCGAATTGATTCGGAAATACTTCAGTGGGAAGCTGGTTCCAGATAGTGGTGGTGCGCAGCACAAACTGCCCTATAAATCACTTAGTTGTGGACGGACGTCCAGGTGATACGGGTACGATGATGAAACTCAGCTGCATGTATCAAACCAAACAAATGGTAACACATCATGAATGAATTCAATGTCATCCTGAATGTCTCAAAGTGACGTCACCCTGGAGCCTTCGGGTCGGCCAGATAATGCAGGAAGTGGAAAAAAACGGCAATTGATTTCAATGGCTTTGCGTACCAATCTTGGGAAGAATCTTTTTTTTTTCGCAAGTACTTTCGGTTCGGTTCGTTCCCATACTCCTCCGAAACGGTTTAACTGATTCTTATGAAATTTTTTATGCATAGTCAATAAGTTTGAGAATTGGCTACTATCTATCTTTCAAACCCTAAAGTGATAAGAGGTATCCACCCCAAAAAATTTTTTTAATTCTAGACAATTTTTTTTGTTTTATTTTTTTATGATACAACATACAAAAATTCATACAACCCTTAATTTTCACCCCTCTACAATCAACTTCTATTTTTTATCATAGCAGATAATTATTTTTATTGAACTAAAAAAATGTTGCCTAGATATAGTACACATGGCAAAACCACGTTTGCCGGGTCAGCTAATTTTTTTATAATAATTTACTTGAATACATTTAAGACCGGTATACGAGTCACCATTTGTATCGTCGCGGTATCAAGGACATTAGTCAAATATCAGACACAAAATATCAGTTAAAGTGAATATTCAAGTTTTAAAATCTGTAGGAAGATATCCTAATACAATATGTATTCATGCAAATGAGGAAAAGAACCTCTGTTTTTCTTTTGTTATCAACTACTTGCCTATTAAAAAAAATACCACGAAACAGACACAGAAATCTGCAAAACAGCAGAGATCATGATTCAATGTTAAAATCCGATGTACATTAGAATATCATTATAATTTTAGAGAAGGTAAATCTTATTACGTGGCAAGACCACGTGTAAGTGTTAAAATACTGTTTTGGGTACGATTAGTTTATAATTCTTCCATTTCTATCAACACAAGCGCTACCTGCCTTTTGATAAACTCAAGGTTAACGACGTAACCTATTAAGACACGTAATAAATAGTACTTATACATTATAACACCGTCAACGAAAATCGGCTTGAAAAATTTTAAAATACGTATATTTAGGCATTTATCGAGAAAAGTTGAATTCACTTTCGGTGTTTACACGGAAATCAAAATCGGATAAACAAACCTTATAATTGATTATGAGTAAATTGGTACATACCTGCTCTCAACCCCAGTTCCTGGCAATCACATTCTGTGGCGTCATTGTCCGCTTCAATGTGCTCTGATTTCTCTGGCTTCTCGATAGTAACAGTCTTTTCAACTTTAATAAGCGGTTCGTTCGGCAATAGATTATCTGCGCCATTCGGTGGCATCTAAAAATTGTTTAGAAAAATATATACTATTTAGCCACGTCTACTTCTTACTCATCATAATATCCTTTTATTGAATCAAATACGCCTTTTATTAACTCTTACAATTAAGGTTAAGTTTTCGTAATTTGCATATAAGAAAGTATTTTTGTCTTTGTACAATTTACCAATTCCAATGTAGTATTAAAATATTTAACTACTTTTTACAATACATTTTAGATATTCACGATGCAAGCACCAGTACTATTTATGTTGTCTTGGGATGCAACTACGAGTATATTTTGTTGACATCTTATCATGTTCTAAAAAATTTAGGGTAATGTAAAGAAAAAAATTACGGGATGGGTAAAAATATCATTGTGCTACGTGTACTAAAAATCATCTATGACTTAAACAAATTCACGGACTGTAACTAGTCAACATAAATGAGGTAAATAGGTGCTTTTCTCATCTTGTCTTAATTACAGCGCTGTTATGTCTTTGGGTATTTCTATTTTAAATTTTTCAATTCTGAAGATAATAAAGAATATGGTAATATTTTGAAACTATTTCACACATTTTATTTCTAATTCTGCAATTTCAATCTTTTGAAAAAAAAACAATATTTTCGATTTCATAAGCATTGGTATGTTTAAGTATAGTTACGCTAACAGCTTCTTCGCAATAATTATTGTTTTGCCGGTAGTCAAACACAACATTTCCCAAGTAACATATGTTACCCACTCCCGTAGACATCTGGAATGCCGGAAGGTTACAGGTGTCATGCTGCCATTTGAGGAATGGTACGTTCTTCTCTTGAAGGTCCGTAAGTCGTATTGGTTTGGAACTGCAGTTCTGATGTTGAACAACTAATAATGGCAACTTATATTTAACTTTAAATAAGATCATCTAAAGCAATTTAGACCTAAGTAATTTAGTTGGACTGGGTCTTCTTAGAGAGTACATGTCGTGCTAACATTGCCTCACTTTATCGATAAGATCGCGTTTAAATTTATGCGTATACCTTATTATGCGTTAAGTTATTTTAAGTGGACGCTTCAATCGATTTTGTAAACTATGGATTGTCAAGGTTATATAACCATTTTCTATTGTTTCTATACACGGTATATTTTAGTCAATTTTGAAACAATGTGTGTTTAAACATCGCTGATAAGTACTATTCAGAATAAATTACAGCCATCTTGAATATTAATACTTATATTCTAGAACCAATATCGCTCTATCCCACGATTATCGCAGACACATATTATTCAGACAATATTATATATTATGGAGAATCACAATCGATATTGTGATCGGCATACACGGCGCGCTTACAGTGCGCCTGCGGTGCATTTTTACATTTTTATTTTAAATTTTACTTATTCCAAATAAAAAAGTGAATGATTCCGTAATGTGTACCGTTGATGTTTCATAATTTACGCTGTTGCTGTTTTTTTAATTAAGAGCTAGCTCAATTTAATATACATTGACTGATTAAAAAAAAGAAACTACAAATTTACGACCAAATAATAGAATACGTAAACGAATATTTTTATTTAGGGCAACTAATAACCATCACCAGTCACTCACTCAAAAATAGAAAGAAGAATAGCCAACACTTGGAAACGGTTCTGGTCACAGGGTGAGATAATAAAAGATAAGGAAATGCCAATGAGGGAAAAGTGAAAAGTGCCTGGGCATGACAGAAACACTGGGATATAGAATAAAAAATTGTCAAAACGAGTAATGAGTAAAAAGGAAAATGAATCTAGTTATTAAATAGATAAACATCTTAATGAAAATCGTGAAAGTCAGGGATTGAATTTTGATTCCATAAAACTATTACAATGACCATAATTACTTGGATTTTTAAGAAAATAATATATTCATCAGCCTTCTGCGTCTATGAAACCATTATTAAGAATCAAACTCAAGACTTCCGGGTTTTTAGCTGTAAACGTCAACTACTAAACGATGAAAGCAGCCTTGCGATTCTGTAACTCACTTTTCAAACTCTCATACCGGACACAGCGGTGTATGAGCGCATAAATCACTCGAGATGGTGTCATGTTACAATTTGGCATTCTGATAAACAATGACCGCGACAAAAGCGCCGCTCCAGTGAGATTTGGAACTAAAATTCGGCACTCAAAACTTGCGCACAAAAATTTTACCAATTTGGTATTCTGATAATGCTATTTGACATCTCGTGTGAATTAAGCAGTGAAGTCGATTTTTTACGTCAAATTAAAACTTCCTCATTCCTTGGTAGATTCGTGATTTACAAGTGATAGGTATAGCCATTTTTAGCGAAGTTAAAAGTTGTTTTACATGAAAATTTTCTAACATAAGACAATTTATATGTATTTCGTAAGTCGTATTAGTTTATAAAATAATATTTATAAAAACAGCATTTTTAAGAAAAAAATATATCGATAAGTAATAGGCTTAGTAAAATAGAACTTTGTTGTTGTCACCGAAGCCCCGTTTCCAATTCAAACCTCTATTTCAAGAAATAAACGATGTAAACACCTGAAAATGATATTTCTATGGATGGCGAAGAAAACGAAGACACGAAACGATCAATTAGTTTTGGTTGCATACACGGTGTTGTTTACATTCGCTGTTTTTTAGAATTCATTTATTTTTTGAAGAAAAAATTAATTGATATTGACGAAACCTTGAATATATGCTGCTATATTAATTAACGTAGTGTCTGATAAATAGATGCACTAACGAATAAATACTAATTTAAACATTTTGATTATTTATGGCAATTCGATGCAGACAAGACGAGATAAACCGAGAAAAGGTATTTCCCTCAATATTATCAAGAATGTCCTTACTTAAGTGTCATAGCTTTCGTAAAATATTAGTATTTTTAGAAGGAGGCATATTAAAATTATATATGTAATAATTTCAGAGTGCCAAATGTTTAAAATTCCTGGTCGTATTACGTTTGAAAAAGGATATCACGTTTGTATCAATGACAAAGCCTTTGGAATAAAGGAAGGCACAATATTGCAGTCATTTTCAAATTATTAAATTTCAACTATCCTTCAATTTAAAATAAATGATATCAATAACCTTAAGGTTTTGGTTTTGGAAAAACATTTTTCTTTTTACACCAGTATGAAATGACATCATTATGTTCATGTTAACTTTATATAAGTACTTATTAAGCTTTTTATTTTATCTTTCATAACAATAACTTTTTATAAACTATATAAATGTATTTGATTACAAATAAAATGATAGGTTTTATTGATTAATGTGAAGCTGGGTTTGAATTAGTTTTTAATATACTTAAGTTGTACTACTATTATACTATATTTTGTTTTTGAGTTACTGAAATAGTGTGTAGATCATTAGATTTTTATCATTAAATAAATGTGAAATTTATAATATTGTTCTTTTATTATCCTATAAAAAACAAGGCTTATATATTTTTAATTTCTGTTTAGCCATGTATTTTACGCGGTTAATCCATAAATTGAGAGCAGGTAATTTAAATTAAACATAAAACATTATATTGTTTACAGTTTTTTAATGCTCGAAAATCGATTTCGTCGGTGTCGCAGTGATGAGCGCAACGTTACTTAATAAACCAGGAAGTCGTTAAATAAATAGGAGATTTACTTAATCATTTTATTACTTTAACAATATTATTACACACAAAAATTAACTATAGTATAAAATAATCTTAAATACGGTAATTTATGTAAAATTGATTCGTGATCTTGGCTTAATATCTTTTCTTAACATTGATTCTGTTACGCTGGTATAATTGACTGGGTGGTAAACAGTGAGACTGGCCATTATATTCCTCGTTCTTGACGACTACCCCTGGTGGCTGTAATACAATGGATGGTTAACTGTTTATATTGTAAATAGTAAGAAGTTTGGTCGCATCTGAATGGGCATAATAATATTGCGTAGCAATTTAATTATTGTACAGTTAAGGAAAATCATAAAAAAACTTGCATAAAACACAACAAACTTAAACAATCTAAATTATAATATATTTAACTAGTTTGATGAGGATAAACTTAAGTGAAGTAAAAGTAGTACCTTAGTGTAAGTTTACAAAAAATTGGCATACTTTTGTATTTCTAAGTAATATATCTTAAAAAAACATATTTATTAATAAATAAGCCAAATATTATTTCGCACACAGTATTCGATTCATGGTATAAAAAAAATCTTGAGGAAGCCAATGTTTAGATCCACAAATCCAAGTACATTAAAAACAATTATTTATTAATGAAACAAATGCGTGGCTAAGAACCATAAAGGGTATGTTTAGTGCTAAACTGTAGTCAGCACCAATAACTACCTCTTACATATTTATTGCTTCTGTATTTATAAAATAAGTTATAGCAATGTAATAATAAATTCAATGTTGTTCACTTGAAATTGTATGAATTTGTAAATTGTGTGCAATTGTAAGCTTTATATCTTTGATCCAACTAGAATGCTAAGTATTTAGCATTATTTTTAGTTTTTCTTTGATTGTTGTTTTTCTTCTGAACAATTAAATTAAATTTTATTTTAACAATTTAAATTAATATTTTTTGTATTTCATGAATGGACTTTGAAGTTAAGAAACCTCAATAAATATTTTATATTTGACATTGTTTAACCTCCAATTTCATTATTCTTAGCATTGTTTTGATTTAATCTATGACTTTAAATTTTTCTTAAACAAACAAACTTTGTTAATTAATGATAGTTATGATGTTTCTAAAATTATTTTTTTTATAAATGTAAAACAAAACATAGATAATATACTTTTTGTGTGTCTGAATCACTTAAATAGGTTTGAATATTAGTTTCATGCCATCTCAATAGTACCATAGATTCCCTATAATTTTGTAATCACCCAACCAAAATTAATATTTTATGAAAACCTTTAGTAACATTTTGAAAATTTGAGATATGAATCCTGTTGAATTTTAATCCTTAGACTATTTGCTGGGGGAATCCGTTTTAGCTGACACTGATAATCATCTTGATAAGCT